TTTAATATAATTTTTTTAACAGGGTTATGCATTGTCTGTTTCACCCGGATGATAATTTTGCATCTGATTTCAAACACTAGTTTTAACTTAGCATTAACTCGAGAACTATTAATAATCTTTTCTATTCTAATACAAGCAACAAATAGAACTTATTTATGGACAATTTGAAAGCACGCCTTTTGAATTGTCAAATCAGCTAAATAAAGTTAAAAATGAAATTGAAATGATGTTTGAAGATGATGATATTGATGATTTATGCTCCGCGATCAAAGAAGTGTGGCATCAACGAGTTACAAAATATATAAGTAAAAATAAAAAAATCAATGAAACTGTTGGTAAGTCCAAATAGCAAGACAATTGAATTATTTTAACTTAGATCCTAATTTTGGATAATATTATATTGCAGCAAAACTGATACATGAATTCATGAGACTTGCCGCAAATGACAACATAAGAAATTTAGAAGAGCTTTTAGAAATCGTCCTCCGATTTTTATCTTACATGGATGGTAGTAATTTAAATTCTAATAAATTTATTAAACATGATAAACAATATATTGAAAATTTTTTAATTGTTTATAGATAAAGAAATTTTTAGAACTTTATATATGACAGATCTTGTTACTCGACTTTGCTTTGAGAGAACTTCAGACTTTGAATTGGAGAGGCGTGTGGCTACTAGATTATTAAATGCAATGGAACCAGAGTTTTCTAACAATTTAGATGTAATGTTGAATGATATAATAATTTCAAAGCAGATTAGTGAAACCCATGACAATTGCACTAGTGTGAGTTTTAAATTCTATATATCAATACTTTTATAAAATATTGTACTAATTTATGTCTCAAGTATTTAGAATGCACCGTTACTGCATGTTAACGTTTTGACGCAAGATAGTTGGCCAAAATACTTAACTAGCTCAACCTTAAACGTGAAATTGGCACCAAATGTAAGCCTAAGTTTAATTGAAATAGCTTATGTATATTAATATGCATATATATGAATGTTCATATTTGTTTTAGCTAGAACAAGCAAAAACAGCTTTTGAACGTGTATATAAGGCTGACCCAGAAAATAAGAATAAAAAATTAAAATGGCAATATGAATTAGATAGATGTGTTGTCGAAATGACTTTTGAGCCGGTATGATGATTTTGTTCATTTTGTACAAGCTCATTAATAGATATTATTAAATCGATTATTTTTATTGTGTAGAAAAATGTTCTTATAGATTTGAGCTTATGTTCAACCTTAGTATTGTTGTTATTCAATGATTTGAAACCTGGGAGTTACCTTTCGTACGAAGAAATCAGGAGGCTGACTGGATTGGGTTTGTCATATTATTAAGGATATTTATTAACTAGGTCTAATGTTTTTGCTTATTGTCTAATTATATCTAATATTTGCTTTTAGAAACTACCGAACTGAATCGCGCTTTACAATCACTGATATTCGGGAAGATCTCATTATTATTAAAAGATCCACCGAATGATGATATAGAGAACACTAATAGATTTTGTATTAATGAATCGTTGGATACCACAATTGGTATTGACAATAATATAATCACTCTAGAAGGGATATAACTAGAACAGTTTTTTTGGGGGTCAAGTTTTTCATCTATCTCTATTGACAAATTCCCCAAGTTATTCAACATCCAAACCAGAAGGGTTATTCTGAGAACAAGTAGTGGTTAAACATTTACTGAGATTGAAACATTTGTAAAAATATCTATACAACAGTAAAACTTACAGAAGAATCTCACATATCTTTAGTATTAGATTAGTGGGCTTTTTAGGTACACGGTTGTGTTTTTTTTGATAACACTATTCTTTCTTGTTTTTTTTCAAGTTTTTAACATATTCTTGATAACTTATATAACTTATATATAATATATAAAAAAACTTACATGAATGGTGTATTTTTATATATACTACACGCTTGGTGTACTTTTTTGATATCTATTTCGATAGCTATTTAGCTTTCTATTACTAAGGAGTACACCCCCTAAGGGTGTACGACGCAGTTGCGGAGTGAAGCAGAGCATAGTTATTATATTTGATTTCTATTTAGTTTTTTGTACTGGAGGAGCATAGCGACTCTGAATGCGAAGCATAGCGTAGCATTAGTTATCTATTTAATTCACAATTAGTTTCTTAACACTAAGGAGTATATACTTTAGGTGTGAGTGATGCAGTTGCGGAGCGAAGCAGAGTATAGTAATCTTTTATTTAAACAAAAGATCTGGTATATTAATAGAAAACACTGAAAAAACATATTACTATGGCTAAGATACTTAAATGTCCAGGTTGTGATCGAGTAATAAAAACTGGTAAAACTCGAGATCTTAATAAACACATGAATTTAAATAGAAACCTTCGTAAAGGACAATGCCAACCAGCTTTGCTTATAATGCAAAATGTAGGAAATGTTACTCCAAAGCAAAATACACCTCAAACTAAAAACGTTACTTCAGAGCAAAATCCGCCAGCAACTCCTGAAGGTGATCTCATATCGTTCGATGAAAACTCACCAACACTTCAGCCGAGAGAGGCAAGTACGCCAGCAGTCGACCCTTTAACTGATGATGTTCCAAATACAGAAGCAGGATCAAGTTCTAATACTCAAGAAGAACAAAAAAAGAAATCAATTTTAACGATAAATGAATTAATAAAATGGTTATCAAAGCCGGAAATAAAAAACAATAAAAAAATTAGATCAAAGCATATACCTAAAAATGATAAAGAATGGTATGATTTAATGGAAATAGATAACGAAAAAGATAGCGAACCAAGTGACTCAGAATATGATACTGCTAAAGAAGAACCAGACATTCATTTCGAAAAAATCAAGGATCCATACATTAATAGAATAGCAGAAGCCAGAAAATTTAATGAAGATAAGGTATGTGATTATTATGCATTTGTACCAAAAGGATACTATGCCGAGGGCGAGCCATTAGCTTTCTTTGAATCAATCAAAGAAAAAATTGCAGATATTTATAAAAAAGAGTTAGCTTTAAAAGGTGGATTAAAAGTAAGAATCGTGTTATATGCATATATGAAGAAAATTAAACCGGAAACTCCAGAACCTTTATATAAAACTTTTCCATTCAAGCATGAAACAATAGAAATTATTAGAGAAGATCGAATTAATGTAACAATAGAAAAAGGATATAACGAAATTATAGATCAAATAGAAGACGAGGCATTACAAGAATCTGGATGGTCATTCGTCCGAGCAGAAGAGGTATTTCTTGAAATAAGCGCATTCAGACCATTACAAGGTAGTAGTTATCTACCTTTACCAGAAGCTTTAGATAAGCCACAACTAGGAATAATTAATCCACAAAATAGGGATGATAATGAGTGTTTTAAATGGTGTATAAGTGCATATCACACAAGAGAGGAAGCTATAAAAGCTAATAGAAAGCCACCACATCTTAATGAAATCCGGAGACTTAGACGAAATGCAAATATCCCTTAAACTGTATTCCAGGCAAATTTGCCTGGAAAATTTAATTGTATTTAGTATTTTTTAAATAAAATTATAGTTTATTAATGATATGGGGTATATATTTATTATAGAATATATTCTTGAAAACATATTTTATAACTTTTATTATAAAAG